GCTTGCCCGCAACACCGATGAGGACAGCCTGGAAGCGATCGCCGGCACCCTGCGCGAGCAGCTGTCCGCGCGCGCCTTCGTGATCCGCGACGACGAATCGGTGCACCTGCGCGGTGTGGTCGGCTACGCGCCGCTGTCGCCGGGTTTCGACGATGCCAGCAGCGCCTTGGAAGCGGTCGAACGCACCACCCTGCAGGCGCGCCTGCTCAGCGCCGGCGTGGCGGGCCACGTGCATCGCCAGGTGACCACCGAGCAGGAGCACCTGGCGTTGCTGGAAGGCCAGCTGGAGCTCGCTTACCAGCCGATCGTCGCCGTCGCCGGCGGCAGCAGCGCGCAGTACCAGCTGCTGCTGCGCCTGCGCCAGGCCGATGGCAGCGTGCTGACCGCCGGTCAGGTCATTCCCGCAGCCGAAGCCGCCGGCCGCATCGCCGATCTTGACCAGCAGGTGCTGGAGCATGCGATGGGCCTGCTCGACCTGTATCGCCATGCCACCCAACCACTGAACCTGTTCGTCTCGCAGTCGCTGCGTACCCTGCAGCGCGATGCCTTCGCTGACTGGCTGCTGGAATCGCTGCAGCAACGTCGCCTGCCCGGCAGCGCGCTGGTGATCGACGTGCGCCTGCCCGACGCGCTGATCCACACCGTGCCGTTGCAGCAGTTCTGCCAGCGCATGGCCAGCGTTGGCGTGCGCTTCTGCCTGAGCCAGTTCGAACCAGGCAGCGAAGCCCTTGCCCTGCTCACCCAGCTGCCGTTGTCGTTCGTGCGCATGGCCGCACGCTTCTCCAGCAGCCACTCCAACCCGGATACGCGCGAAGAACTGCGCCGATCGATCGAGCAGGCGCATGCAGCCGGCCTGCTGATCATCGGCCAGCAGATCGAGGATCCGCAGGCAGCGGCCGCGATGTGGGTCGGCGGTGTCGATTACATCCAGGGCAACATGGTGCAGTCGGCCGGCAGCGACCTGAACTTCGACTTCCACAACGCGGTGCTCTGAGTGTCATCGACGGTTGCGCTGCTGGCGGTGCTGGCCCTGGCCATCATCGCCCTGCTGGTACTGGGTCTGCGGTTGCGTTCGCGCAATCGCACGCTGGCGGCACTGCAGCGCGACCGCATCACCCTCATCAGCGAGCGTGACCAGCTGCGGCGTACCACCGAACGCCAGGGCCAGCTGGAACATCAGCTGCTGCAGGCCAAGCAGGCGGCCGAAGCGGCCGTGCTGGCCAAGGGCGAGTTCCTGGCCACCATGAGCCACGAGATCCGCACGCCACTCAATGGCATCCTGCCGATGCTGGAGCTGATCGCCCGTGGTCCGCTCGGCGAGGACCAGCGGCAGATGCTGGCTACCGCCTCGGCCAGCTCGCAGCAGCTGCTGCGCATCGTCGATGACATCCTCGACTACTCGCGACTGGAAGCACAGGCACTGGAACTGGAGATCACCAGCTTCAACCTGCGCGAACTGCTCGACGGCGTGGTGCAGCTGCTGCAGCGCGCCGCCGAAGCCAAAGGCCTGACACTGAGTCTGCAACTGGATCCGGCCGTGCGCCTGCCGGTACGCGGCGACCCCGTGCGCCTGCGTCAGGTGCTGGGCAACCTGCTGGCCAACGCCATCAAGTTCACCGCACGTGGCCAGGTGCAGCTGCGCGTGCAGCGGCTGGGCGAAGGCCCCGCCCAGCACCAGTTGCGTTTCGAAGTGATCGACACCGGCATCGGCATCGATGAGGCCCAGCAGGCGCGGCTGTTCCAGTCCTTCAGTCAGGCCGACGCGTCCACCACACGCATCTACGGTGGCACCGGCCTGGGCCTGGCCATCTGCAAGCGCATCACCGACCTGATGCATGGCGACATCGGCGTGCGTTCCACCCCGGGACAGGGTGCAACCTTCTGGTTCGAAATACCGCTGCTGAAGGTCCCCGGCGATCTGCCGGCACTGGCACGCTCGCCGGCAGCGCTGCTGCTGTACACCGCCGATGCGCAGCTGCAGCCACGCGTCGAGCGCATCGCCGCACACCACGGCCTGCAGGTACAGCTGCTGGCCAGCATCGATGACGCAATGGAACGCCTGCGCGCAGCGCCACGTCCCGGCCAGAGCACGCCGGCATGGCTGCTGATCGACGCCCGCCATCGCCGCAATGGCGAGGCGGCCCTGCAGCGGGCCCTGGCCGAGCGCGGTGCCGACGACACGCTGCAGGTGCTGTGGCTGCAGGACGATCCGGTTGCACCCCGTCCTCGCCAGCAGCAGCTGCACAGCTCATTCAACGATGCCGCCCTGCACGCGCTGCTGGCACAGCCAACGGCCACCGCGCGTCCAGCAGCGCTGCTGGCCAACGCCGAAGACGCGCAGCCAGCCGCGACGTTGCCGTCATTGGATCTGCGTGTCCTGCTGGTCGAGGACAATACGGTCAACCGGATGGTGGCCGAGCACCTGCTGCTGGTCTTCCAGTGCCAGGTGCGCAACGCCGCCGACGGCGAGCAGGCGCTCGCACTGCTGCGCGAAGGCGGAATCGACGTCGTGCTGATGGATTGCCAGATGCCGGTGCTCGACGGCTACGGCGCAACACAGCGCTGGCGCAGGGAGGAGGCCGAAGCGGGGCGCACGCGGTTGCCTATCATCGCGATGACCGCCAACGCCATGGCCGGTGATCGCGAGCGCTGCCTGCAGGCGGGCATGGACGACTATCTGTCCAAGCCGATCACGCGTGAAGCGCTGCATGCATTGCTGCAACGTTGGGGCCGGGTATCCGCGGATCGCGGACATGCAGCGCTGCCGGAACCTTTGCCATTGCCCGCAGCGCCGAGCGCGCTCGACGGCGAAAGCCCGCGTGATGACCAAGCACGCTCGACCCCGATTCCACAGCTGGTGCTTGATCGCAGCGTGCTGGATGAGCTGCACGCGGTGATCGGCGATGCCGCTGCGCAGATCGTGGCAGTGTTCCTGGAAGACGCACCGCAGTTGGTGCAGCAGCTGCAGCAGGCGGCACAGGGCAACGATATCGAACGCCTGCAGGCGCTGTCGCACAGCCTGAAATCCTCCAGCGCCAACGTTGGTGCGCTGTCGCTGTCAGCAGTGGCGCGACGGATAGAACACGAAGCCCGCAGCGGCAGCCTGCAGCGCCCTGCCGTGGCAGTGGCGCTGCTGGTGGCGGAGTTCGCCCGCGCGCGTGTGGCGCTGACCGGCTACCTCGCCGGCCAGGCCCGCTGAATCACTCTTCGAGCTTGCTCAGCAGGTACTTCGGCTCACCGATGCGCTCGATCAGCTCCAGCTGGGTTTCCAGCCAGTCGATGTGCTCTTCCTCGGAGTCGAGGATCTTCACGAACAATTGGCGGCTGACGTAGTCGCCGACCGAATCGGCGTAGGCCACGGCCTCGCGCAGGGTGACCACGCCGTCGCGTTCCAGCGACAGATCGCACTGCAGGATCTCGGTCGGGTTCTCACCGATGCGCAGCTTGCCCAGCGCCTGGAAATTCGGCAGGCCTTCGAGGAACAGGATGCGATCGGCGAGCATGTCGGCATGCTTCATCTCCTCGATCGATTCCTTGTACTCGTGTTCGGCCAGTTCCTTGATGCCCCAGTTCTTCAGCATCTTGGCGTGCAGGAAGTACTGGTTGATCGCGGTCAGCTCGTTGTAGAGGACCTTGTTGAGGAATTCGATGACCTTGGTGTCGCCCTTCATGGGAATGCTCCTGCACGCTGAAATCGCGGGCACTGTAACGCCTTGCGCGCGCGCGTGAAGGAACGCGAATCGTGCGCATTGGCCGCTGTGACCAGCAATGAAGATCAGGAGAACGCAGCGTCAACGCGCCGCGAAACGACTCAGGCGACCTGCGCCAGACCCAGTACCGGCAACGGCAGATCGTGCGTGGCACGTGCCTTGGCCAGCAGGTCGCCGGCCATGTCCAGGCAGGAACCGCAGGTGGCGCCGCATCCGGTACGCATGGTCAGCTCGGCCACCGACGTGACGCCATGGCTGGCGGCTTCGCGGATCTGGTGGTCGGTAACACCGTTGCAGATGCAGACGTACACAGGCGGGAACCAGGGCAACAGGCCAGTAGCGGCCTGGTCACTATTCCAATGGAAACGAGAATGGTTGTCAATCAGAGACCTGAACCATTCTCGATACCGTTCAGCCCGTCAGGTGACCGGACCCTCGCCCTGCGCCTTCTTCGGCCAGTACCCGTGGCTGCGGGGCCGCTTTCGCGGCCGCTCGTGGCCGGCGGCATGGCCTGGCATCCAGGCCTCGGCAGCGCTCTTGGGCATGGCACTGATGCCGTGCCCCGCCACCCCCTGGGCCAAGGGCGCCAGATGTCGCAGGGCGCGCGCATAGACTCCACGCTTGAACACCACCACATGCTCCACCGGATACCAGAAGTCGACCCAGCGCCAATGATCGAACTCGGGCGAGTCGGTATGGTCCAGGCTGACGTGGGCCTCGTCACCGGTCAGGCGCAGCAGGAACCAGACCTGCTTCTGGCCGATGCAGACCTGGCGTTCATTGCGGCGGATGGCACGCGCCGGCAGCTTGTAGCGCAGCCAACCCGGTGTCGCCCCGAGCACTTCAACGTGCTCCGGCAACAGCCCGGTCTCTTCCTGCAGTTCACGATACATGGCCTCGACAGGCGTCTCGTCGGTGTTCATGCCACCCTGCGGGAACTGCCAGCCATCCCGGCGCACACGTCGTGCCCAGAACACCTGTCCGTCCTGCCGCATCAGCACGATGCCGACGTTCGGTCGATAGCCGTCCGGATCGATCACGATGCGGACTCCTAAGAAAATCTACTGGTTGGGACTATCCCATGCCGTCTGTCGGGCCACAAGCACGATACAAAGGTGTTGACAGTCCTTGTACACATCAGCAGAATAGCGGGCTCACCAAGGCTATGTAGCTCAGCCGGTTAGAGCACAGCACTCATAATGCTGGGGTCGGTGGTTCGAGTCCACCCATAGCCACCACGTTGAAGTTGTTTTTCAATGTGAAAAGTGAGAAAATAGTTACACGTTACATTGCCCCTTAGCCAAGCGGTAAGGCACCTGACTCTGACTCAGGCATCGGTGGTTCGAATCCATCAGGGGCAGCCAAATTAAATGCAAAAGGCCAGATCGAAAGATCTGGCCTTTTGCGTTTAATCTGGTTACGCATTCCACGCCCCACCTTCGCCCGCCGCGCGCACCTGGAACAGGTAGTGCCGGCCGCTGGCCGGCAACCTCGAAATGCACACCGCCAGAACGACAAAAGCCCGGCCGAAGCCGGGCTTTTGCGTTTCCAACCAGCGGGCTCCCGAAGGAGCCCAACCAGGCGCAGCAGATCAGCGCTTGGAGAACTGGGTGGCGCGGCGGGCCTTGTGCAGACCGACCTTCTTACGTTCGACTTCGCGGGCGTCGCGGGTCATGAAGCCAGCCTTGCGCAGCTCGGACTTCAGGGTTTCGTCGTACTCGACCAGAGCACGGGCGATGCCCAGACGGATCGCACCGGCCTGGCCGGTGGTGCCGCCGCCAGCGGCGGTGACCAGGATGTCGAAGCTCTCGGTGTTCTTGGTCAGCTCGAGCGGCTGGCGCACGATCATGCGAGCGGTCTCACGGCCGAAGAACTCGTCCAGCGGACGACCATTGACGGTGATGTTGCCCGAACCCTTGCGCAGGAACACGCGAGCGGTGGAGGACTTGCGGCGGCCAGTGCCGTAGTTTTGAGTGATAGCCATGATTAGATATCCAGAACCTGCGGCTGCTGTGCGGCGTGCGGATGCTCAGTGCCGGCGTAGACCTTGAGCTTGCGGTACATCTGGCGACCCAGCGTGCCCTTCGGCAGCATGCCCTTGACGGCGGTCTCGATCACGCGCTCCGGGTGGCGCTCAAGCGCCTGGGCGAGGGATTCGGTCTTCAGGTTGCCGATGTAACCGGTGAAACGGTGATACATCTTGTCCTGCAGCTTCTTGCCGGTGACGACAATCTTTTCTGCATTGATGACGACCAGGTAGTCGCCGGTATCAACGTGCGGGGTGTAGACCGGCTTGTGCTTGCCACGCAGACGGCGGGCCAGCTCGGTGCAGAGACGGCCCAGGGTCTTGCCCTCGGCGTCGACGAGGTACCAGTCGCGCTGGACGGTCTCGTTCTTGGCAGTGAAAGTGCTCATGAAGAACTCTTGGTTAGGTCGGGCTCATTGCGGCGAAGGACTCGCCGGAACTCTGCCACGCGTTGTGAAAGGTGGAGCGTAAGGGGCGGCATTGTACGCAGCTTGGCTGGCGGGTGCAAGCCGGCTTCCGCCCCGGGTTGGCAGGGGGCCGGGGCCGGGCGAGAATCGGGCCTCCCCCGCTCCACGCCGTGCCGCCATGACCGTGCTTCGCCAGACCACCCCGCTGGACCATCTGCTGACCGAGGCGCAGCGCGCCCTGGACACGGTGTTCGGCAACCCGCCGGCCAACCGCCCTTATCCGGCCACGGACACCGGCGAGCCGGGAATGGACAGCGCGCAGCGTCGCCACGCGGCCGGGCTGATGCGGATCAACCATGTCGGCGAGGTCTGCGCCCAGGGCCTGTATTTCGGCCAGGCCGCGGTGGCGCGCGATCCGGCGACCCGCGAGCATCTGCTGGAAGCGGCCCAGGAAGAGACCGATCACCTGGCGTGGTGCGCCACCCGCCTGGGCGAGCTGGACAGCCGCCCGAGCCTGTTCAATCCGCTCTGGTACGCCGGCAGCTACACCATCGGCACCCTGGCCGGGCTGCGTGGCGATGGCTGGAACCTGGGTTTCGTGGTCGAGACCGAGCGCCAGGTGGAAGCCCATCTGGACGAACACCTGGTCGACCTGCCGGCCGGCGACCTGCGCAGCCGCGCGGTCATCCGGGTGATGAAGGAAGACGAGGCCCGGCATGCCGAACATGCCGAACAGGCCGGCGCACGCCGCCTGCCGTTCCCGATTCCCGGCGCGATGGCGCTGGCCTCCAGGGTGATGAAGACCATTGCCTACCGCATTTGAGGGGGAGCCCCCACCAACGGTGTGGGCCTACCAGATCACACGGTGGGGCCCGACCGTTGGTCGGGCCACCTTTCAGTTGGGCGACACCAGCTTCAGGCCGATCACACCGGCCACGATCAGGCCCACGCAGGCCAGGCGTGCCGGCGAGGCGCTGTCGTTGAACAGATAGATGCCCAGCACCGTCACGCCCATGGCGCCGATGCCGGTCCAGATCGCGTAGGCCGTGCCGACCGGAATGTTCTTCATCGCCTGGCTCATCAGGTACAGGCTGATCAGCGCCGACACCACCGTCAGGGCGGTCGGCACGGGTTTGCTGAAACCTTCGGAGTACTTCATTCCAAGGGCGAATCCGATCTCGAACAGACCGGCCAGCAGCAGATAGATCCAGGGCATGGGTGGGGGCTCCTTACCTTTTTGAGAAAAACGAAACGGCCCGGTGTTTTCACACCGGGCCGTAGGTCGGTACATCGCCGTGGAACTGAAGATTGCGCCAAGCGCAGGCTCCACGGGGCGGGGCGTCCCGCCTGGGTGGCGATGCCTGACGGCATCGCGCTTGGGTCACTCAGCCAGGTTGCGCCCGTGGAACAGCTCTTCGATCTCACGACGCAGCAGCGCTTCGATCTTCATGCGTTCCTTGAACGAGATGTTCTTGGCCTTCTCCTCGAACAGGTACTGGTCCAGGTCGAAGTCCTTCAGGTGCATCTTCGTGTGGAAGATGTTCTCCTGGTAGACGTTGACGTCGAACATCTCGTAACGCGACTTGATGTTCTTGGCCAGGAAGTTCTGGATCGAGTTGATCTTGTGATCGATGTAGTGCTTCTTGCCCTTCACATCACGCGTGAAGCCACGGACACGGTAGTCCATGATCACGATGTCCGATTCCAGGCTCTCGATCAGGTAGTTCAGTGCCTTCAACGGCGAAATGACGCCGCAGGTAGCCACGTCGATGTCGGCGCGGAAGGTGGCAATGCCTTCCTGCGGGTGCGTTTCCGGATAGGTGTGCACGGTGATGTGCGACTTGTCCATGTGCGCGACCACGGCATCGGAAATCAACTCCTTGCCGGCCTGCTTCTTGTCGATCACCGGCTCTTCGGAGATCAGGATCGTCACCGAGGCACCCTGCGGATCGTAATCCTGGCGCGCCACGTTGAGGATGTTGGCGCCGATGATCTCAGCGACATCGGTCAAGATTTGAGTAAGCCTGTCGGCGTTGTACTCTTCATCGATGTATTCAATGTAACGCTGACGCTCCTCTTCGGTGCGCGCGTAACACACGTCATAGATGTTGAAGCTCAGCGCCTTGGTGAGGTTGTTGAAACCCTGCAACCTCAGGCGAGGCAACGGCTTGACCACGGCGGTCGATTCCTGTGTAAGAAGGGAAAGGGGGAATTATGCGGCATAAGTGTCTCCAGGGGGAACGTGAAGACGCTCAGGTTCTGGCACACTGTTTGCCCTTAACAATTGCGCTGGTTAAGCTCCGCTATCGACCCCGTGAATCCGTTCATGCGCAGAGGGAGCGCCCCTATCGTGTCAACCGTGCGCCTAGCTAGCAGCCCATTGGCCTTGGACATCGCAACAATCGACCGCTTCCTGGCACACAGCCACAGGCGGCGCTATCCCACCCGTACCGACGTCTTCCGACCCGGTGACCCGGCCGGCACCCTGTATTACGTCATCAGCGGCTCGGTTTCGATCATGGCCGAGGAGGAAGAGGACCGTGAGCTGGTACTGGGCTATTTCGGCGCCGGTGAGTTCGTCGGCGAGATGGGCCTGTTCGTGGAGTCGGACCGCCGTGAGGTGATCCTGCGCACCCGCACGGCCTGTGAGCTGGCCGAAATCAGCTACGAGCGCCTGCATCAGCTGTTCCTCGGCCCGCTGTCGGCCGATGCCCCGCGCCTGCTGTACGCGCTGGGCCAGCAGATCTCAAAGCGCCTGCTGGACACCAGCCGCAAGGCCAGCCGTCTGGCATTCCTGGATGTCACCGACCGCATCGTGCGCACCCTGCACGATCTGGCGCAGGAGCCGGAGTCGATGACGCACCCGCAGGGCAGCCAACTGCGCGTCTCACGCCAGGAACTGGCCCGTCTGGTCGGTTGCTCGCGCGAAATGGCCGGCCGGGTGTTGAAGAAGCTGCAGACCGACGGCCTGCTGCACGCCCGCGGCAAGACCGTGGTGCTGTACGGCACCCGTTGATCGACAGATGTCCGCCGGGCATGGCCCGGCGCTACCCCAAGGCCTCCACCACGGTAGCGCCGGGCCATGCCCGGCGGATCGTCGTACGTGCGACACACCATCGCATGTCGCGCACACCCGCATCCGCTAGGCTCGATCCATGGAGCTGAGCAGCGAATTCTGGTGGTTCATCCTCATCGGCCTCGGCGCGCAGCTGGTCGATGGCGCGCTGGGCATGGCATTCGGGCTGGTTTCTTCATCGGTGCTGCTCAGCATGGGCCTGCCTCCCGCACAGGTCAGCGCCAGCGTGCATACCGCTGAAGTGTTCACCACCGGGGCCTCCGGTGTGTCGCATCTGGTCGCCGGCAATGTCGACAGGCGACTGTTCTTCCGCCTCGCCCTGCCCGGCGCGCTGGGCGGCGCACTCGGCGCGTACGTGCTGACACAGGTCCCTGGCGACCTGATCCGCCCACTGATCTACCTGTACCTGCTGGTGCTGGCCATCATCATCCTGGCCCGCGCGGCGGGCCGCTGGATGCCCAAGGGCGAGATCCGGCGGGTACCGGTGCTGGGCTTCTTCGCCGGCCTGCTCGATGCCAGTGGCGGTGGCGGCTGGGGCCCGGTGGCCACCTCCACCCTGCTCGCCCGCGGCGGTCAGGCGCGGACCACGATCGGCACGGTAAACGCTGCGGAGTTCGTGGTCACGCTGACGGTGTCAGCGACCTTCCTGCTGTCGATGGGAATGCAGCACCTGCAGATCGTCGCCGGCCTGCTGATCGGCGGCATGATGGCCGCGCCGGTGGCGGCGGTGCTGGTGAAGCGGGTGAAGGAACGCTGGGTACTGGTCGCGGTGGGCGTGCTGGTGCTGGGCATCAGTCTGTTCCAGGTGGGCCATGCGCTGTTCGGGTACCTGTACCGCTGACCGCTCGCCGG